ACTTAAGGTCCATCAAGGGTGAGCTGTGGAGTTAGCAAGGTCAGCTGGGGTGCTTTTCTGAGGAATCCAAGGCATGAAAAAACTACAATTGCCTAGTGACACAGAAAGGAATCTCTTTGTAGGGGTATCGCTTCTACATGCTCTGCTCCCCATTTTTCATAAGAAAGCACGGAAACAAATAATAACAGAAGAATTTTTATGTTTTCCTCTGCAGGAAGAATGCCTGAGGAGGCTACTGCACTTGTTAATGTGATTGCACACTGAATGTCCTAAATTCTCTTCCACCAGCATCTCAAGAATATGATTCAATTACTGGATAAGACTTTCTACAACAAATGCTCGAGAAATAGAACACATAAAAGGGAAATTAGAGAGTAAAGAGCACTCACAGTACGTACATAGAATGTAGCTGATGGTGATGATTTCTTTATCTTTCAGCTTCCTGGCTGCTTTAGTTCTGTAGTTTTGGTGGGGAGGGGGCAGGGGAGGCGAACAAAGCCCTACAATGGAGCTTCGGGACCCTCCTCCATTCTCAGGTTGCCATGTTTAGACAAAGCATAAACACTAGATGGCGCCCATAATCTTAAACATAGTAAAGGACTGGCGGTTTTTCTTTATAGGCAAGTAAGGCTACCTCCTTAGGAAAAGAGTCAAGTATGGGAATTAGAAAAATATCTACTCCAGCATTTCCTATTCTTGTCCTGTGAAGTGCTCCTTATATGAGGGTTTGATAGCCAAGTAAGTATGGGAAAACACTGCTTCTGAAAAGACTCCCCAGTGCATACTGGTACACCAGACGTTTCTGAAAAGTTCTTCGGTGAAGAAATATGGTAGCAGGGAACCCTGTCTATCAGTAGCACCCTAGTCCAATCCTGCTCTTCCAGTGTCCTGTGAAACACACTTTGGGAAATGCTCATCCAGCCCAAGCCCTGTCCCAAAGAAGGAATAACTCAAACTCCATAAAAGAGGCCTTCTTTAGACATGGTTATCTGACACTTAAAAAAACAAAAACAAAAACAAAAAACCACTGGACACATTATTAAGGCAAAGTTGTTACTAGTAATAGCAGTGTTGACTGAGTATTTACAGTATGATACGCTGAAGTTTTGTCTCCTTTCTTTCTTCAATATGCCATCTTCATCTATACTATATCTACATCTATACCTGTAACCATGTCTATATATTCACATATAATTGATATATTGATATATTTGCCTTTAGGCTGTGAATATTTTAAGGACAGGATATTTAGCTCATTCTTTGAAATCTCTAATCCTAGCACAAAATCTGTCACATACTAAGTCATTAATAAAATAAATTATCTCTAAAGTCTGTATAGTCTGTGTAGGAGAGTAATTCTGGAATGCAGGCATGGACATTCTGCCCCTGATTAGAAGGTTAATTACCTCTTATTCAACTCTCTTCCTGATAAAGACCAACTGAGGACAGAGACCTGCTCCCAAGCGCTTCTCCCTGGGGATTCTAGTTCTGTTTTCTGAACTTAATTGCATTACTGTTAGCATACATTATTTACAAAATAATGTTATAAGATCTAGTAATAGAATCTGTGTTTAACTTTTGACTGCTATTTAGAGTTTTTGGTCTTGTGTTTTCCAGGAAGGTATAGCTTGTCCTTATATATTCAGTGTAAGCTGTAGATGTAAAATATCACATCCTCCATATTCCATTGTTAATAATTTTGTTCTGCTGTTTTCCTTCCATATTGTAATGTTTGAGCTTTTCGAGCCTGTTTATTCTTCTCTTTCACTATTAACCCATGAAATTCCAATACTGAGCCTTGAAAGGCAATTTTTAGCCACAGTTCAAATAACTTTTTGCAAACTAAAAAAGAGAAATGTTCCCTCTTCTTTTTCAATTGTGAAAAGCAGGTAATATTTTTATCATTGAACTGTCTTTGTAAATGTTATACATAAGAAAGGATATGATATCTGAATATCAGAGACTATTGTAATATTCTCTGGATTGTAATCTCCAACAAGACTATAAGTCATCTGATTGGTTGCTTTCTTTTAATATGTGGTTCTGGCAGTATTTAAATGGATATATCTACTTTTGAAAACCGAAACACTTGCGAATTTTCTTTGTTGAGTCATAAGATTACTAGCTCATCCTTTTTTTACCACATGCCTGGAAGCCAAAACAAATAAAATCTATGGATTTCTCATTTAAACAGAGTCTAATGTCATCTCTGTGACTCAGTGTCTTTACCCTTAAAATGAACATAATGGGGGGGGGTTGGCTGGCTCAGTCAGTAGAGTGAGTAATACTTGATCTGGGGATTGTGAGTTCAAGCCCCATGTTGGGTGTACAGCTTACTTAAAAAATGAGCATAACAGGGCCTAGAGTGTTTATAAGATTAAATTCATTATAACACTGACGACTCAAAAGTAACCTGGAAGTACTAGTCCTTTATAGTTCTGTGCATTCCTGAGTGAGCACACAGAGCAGTGCTGTGAGATGAGAAAATGTGGAATGAGACCGTTGACAGGTTTTGAAAAGAGATTATGTTATAAAGAGAAAGAACACTGATTTGGGGTCAGGAGACTTGATTTTTGAGTCTAACATCATAGTTAGTAGCTTGTGGAGTTTTGGATAAATCATTTGGCCTTTCTGAATCCCCTTTTCCTCATGTAAGAAAGTGAGAGTAATAATAACTTAGTTTCTGACACTTAGAATTTCTTTGAAGACCCCTAGAATTAATGCACGTGAAAGTGCTTTGTGTGGGGGAAGTGCTGTGCCAGTGTGAACGCTGACTGTGGCAAAGTAACAGTGTGGTTCCCAGGCTAAGGATTTTGAGCCAGAATGATGACACTATGTAAGTATGCTCTGCTTAAAATTGTACAGAATCCATCTGTGAGGCTACAGTGACTCTGTAAAGCATCACCACATTTGTTCAACACCTTTTCATTCCATAGACATTGTTAGGGAGACTGCTATGTGCCAGCCACTATGATTTAAATGTCGAGGATACAAAACCATGTAAGATGGAGAACCTGCTTTCAGGGAGATTTTGCCACTTAGAAAGAAAGACATGTCAATAAAAGCAAGTTATATTTTGTGCAGATGGTCCTGGAGTTAGCAACAATTTGATTTTACACATTTTCAACTCTGATGATGGTACAAAAGTGACACATGTTCACTAGAAACTGTACCTTGAATTGTGAATTTTGCTCCTTTCCCAGGTTAGCAACACAGTGTACACACTCTTGTGATACTGGGCAGTGAGTGGCAATTCCCACTCAGCCACACCATCACCAAGGTAAACAACTGATACAGTTACAACCATTCTGCACCTAAATGATCATTCTGTTTTCATTTTTAGTATAGTATTCAAATTATATGAGATAGTCGACACTTATAAAATATTATAAAATAGGCTTTGTTTTGGGTGATTTTTCCCCAAAGCAGGCTAGTTTAAGTGTTCTGAACATGTTTACTAAATGCATTTTTGACTATAATATTTTTAGCTTACAATGGGCTTATCAGGATATAACCCCATTATAAGTCCAGGAAGATATATATCATTTAAGTGTAGAAGAAGGATGCAGAGGGGAGTAGTCAAGGGGGTGACATTCAGCTCTTGGATGACAGAACAAGGTCCTATCATGGGACATGACCCAATTTCTCCCATACTCAATCCATCCAGACATCTATCTGCTAGCTAATGACTAAGCAGAAGACTTAATGTATGGGAGAACTACCAGAATATGTAAGACAAGGCTATCCATTCAGACCACTGGACACTTTGCTCAGGTCAACTGACTATATTACACAGGTATGGTGTGTGTGTGAGGGAAAGGTGGAGATGGCACGATGGCTAACACAGATAAGGTCCCTTGGAAAATTCTAGTTATAAATCACAGCTATAAAACAAAGACAAGTTTTTCTAAAACAATGAAAACCAAAACAAAGTAAGTGTTCCATTGAGTTATGAACCATAAACTCAGCCGTAAGAGCTAGGCTCCTTAGATTATTTCTCATGATTTGCCTGATTACCAAAATTTCAGTATGTTTTAAACTACTTGTCACAGAGTTTATACCAGAAAGAAAGCTTGATCTAGTGGAAAGAAGCAGGCAATAAATAGTCCAATACGAGAAAGGAAAAGAAAGGAGGAGGGAAGACAGGTGGAAGGGAGGAAGGAGTGAGTAAGGAAGGAGGGAAAAGAGAGGGCAGGTGTGATGGGCATTAAAACTGAATGCTTAGGGGTGCCCGGCTGGCTCAGTCAGTAGAGCACATGACTATTCATCTTAAAGTTGTAAGTTTGAGCCCCACGTTGGGTGCAGAGATTACTTAAAAATAAAATCTTAAAAAACCCCCCGATTATTTAAATCCAAGTTCTTATTCTCTCTAGTTAGGTAGTCACTGACTTAACCTCTCTGACCCTTATTTTCTTCATCCAAACATGGGGTACTTTCAGGGTGATTGCGAGAATAAAAAATTATAGGAGATAAGAGAATATAATTTTTAAATAAAATGACTTGTATAAAATGCTTGGTTAATAATAAGTGCTCATAGCTTGTTGCTGGTAATTCTTGCATTTAGGTAAATGGTGTGGCTGCGACCACTACCAGTGGCATCCAACTGCATGTTTTATGTATTTGCTTATATAGTTATATGCAACAAAATACATGCTTATAAATGTGCTGTTTTTAGAGTAGAGTCATGGATTTAGAAAAAAAAATCTGCTTTAAAAATAAATAATACCTAAAAAAGGCATGGTTCTCAATGCTCTGTTGAATGCAAATATGTCTCAGAACATCTGCATGAAACATTAGCACTTTTACCTGTACCTGAGGGAAGTGAGTAACAAGCACCAAGCACTTCAACACCACGTAAACCGCAACAGGTGCTGGAAGCCATAATGCTCTCCTCCATTTCCTCTTTTTAATGAAGGTGTTTCTGGAGTCCTAATTGAAAGCGATTTTTTCCTTAAATGGTGTCAGATACAGAGGAATGAAGATTAAGAAGAAATACTCACGGATAAGATCTGGTCTCCTCTCTGGAGTTCCCCACTCAGGTCTGCTGGTCCACCAGCCAGAATGAAGGATACAAAAATACCTTCTCCGTCTTCCCCGCCCACGATGTTGAAGCCCAGGCCAGTGGAGCCTTTGTGCAGGACTACCTTGCGGGGCTCCCTGAAGAAACAAGGAGAAAACAGAGCTCACAGTGGGACCCACTCAGGATTCAGGGCGCTTTTACTTTCATTGAGATATATGATACCAACAATTCACCACCGATGAAATGGCTTCCCAAAATAAGATTCACCAGCACTCCAAGAAAAATGCTAATATCAGGGCAGATATATAGTGAGTTTCTCACTATAACAAACGCCACAATACCATGTAAAGTCATTCCTTAATTCCAAAACATTTTCTTAAACTGTCCTTACTTCCACTTTTTCTATGTTTCAAACACCTGTTCTTGTATCTTTTTAAATGGAGACATAATTGACATAGAACGTTATTCAGCTTCAGCTGTACAAGGTAAGGTTGGTATCTGTATATATTGTGAAATGATCATCAGAATGAGTCTAGTTAACATCCTCCTCCACATGCAGTTACAATTTTTTTCTTGTGATGAGAACTTTTAAGATCTACTCTCAGCTATATTCAAACATAGAATGCAGTATAATGCACCATGTTGAATACCATGTCTCCAGGACTTACTTCTTTTAAAACTAGAAGGTTGTGTCTTTCAACCACCTTCACCCATTTCACTCTCCCACCCACTTGCTCTTCTACTGAGCACCCGCAGTAGTGCTCAGTAGGATGAATGTGTTCAAAAAAGGGAAGAGAATTTGGGGGACAAGAGACTAGACTGAATAGGTCAGATCAGGGAATACCTTACAGATTTGTTTGACTGTTAATTAAAATTCACCCTGTAGTAGTGGAAACTCACTGGAAGATTTTGAGGCATTGAGAATATTTAAATTCATTTCAGGAACATTAATAAAGTGTCATATGTAGGATTGCTGGAGGGAGAGTGTGGATATGATGCGAGGTAGGAAAATCAGTTAGGATGTTGGTTAAATAATCCCAACTTGAGGAAGTGAGAGCATGAACAAGGGTGACAGCAGTGTTAATGAAAATGAAAGGCAATATGAGAGAGGAAATCTGAAAGGAAAACTGGGTCCAGAGACTGACTCAGGTAGTAGAGGAGAGAGGGAAAAATATCTAATTGGCAAAAGGAGGGGGAATTGGAATCCAGGATCATTAGGATGAGTATGACCTTGACATGCTCCATTCCGGGTAATGGTTTGTCATCCATGTAATGTTTGGAAGTTGTCAGAGACAAAATGTTAGGAATATGGATCCACAAAGAGGACTACAAATGCATATTTCAGGGTCATCAATAAAAAGATGATCAAATGTTGAGCCATTAGTTACTTGAGTGAAGGCTAGATAACTATGGAATATAGCATTTCAAGGGATCTTAGAAGTCATCCAGTTCTATTTTCTTTTCTTTTCTTTTTTTTTTTTTAAGATTTTATTTATGACAGAGAGAGATAGTAAGAGAGGGAGCACAAGCCCAGGGGAGCTGAAGAGGGGCTCGATTCTAGGCTGCTTAAGGCAGATGCTTAATGAATGAGCCACCCAGGAGCCCCCTAGTTCTGTTTTCTTAAGTAGTTTTAGAAATGTGTTCTGTAAACCTTTCATATCACCTACCCTCGTCTCACAAGTACCCCAGTTTCAGTCATTGAAGTTTCTCTTATACTTTCCTGCACTTAATGATGTAAGAATGGCAGAGCCATCCAATATATTTTTTTAAAAAGATTTTATTTATTTGACAGAGAGAGAGAGAGAGTGAAAGAGAGAGCACAAGCAGGGGGAGTGGCAGGCAGGCAGGCAGAGGGAGAGGGAGAAGCGGCTCCCTGCTGAGCAAGGAGCCCCATGTGGGGCTTGATCCCATGACCCTGGGATCATGACCTGAGCTGAAGGCAGCCACCTAATTAACTGAGCCACCCAGGCGCCCTGCCAACCAATATATTTTTATACTAATGACCACATATAGTCTATTATTTGTTATCACATTCCCATGTACAAAGCAATGTGTTATATATCCGTGTTTAGCCTAGTTTTGAGGAAGGATGTAAAATGCACATACACCTTGGACCATAAATATTACAACGTAATGATTTAAGTCCGAGGCAACTTGACATAGAGTTAATTTATTTTATTCTACAAATACTTCGTAAGCACTACCATACCAGGAATTGTTCCAAGTACTCAGAAAATTTATACGCAAAACAAATATCCGTGCCCCATTTAACTCAGTATCTGGATGCCCTGTCAAGCTGACATATAGAATTAACCACCACGAAGACTGAGCTCCTTGTTTCCTTGCTGGCTTCAGTTGGGGGTCTCTCTCAGGTTCTAGAGGCTACTCACATTCCTTGCTATGTGGCAGCCTCTATCTTCAAGCTGGCAATGACACACTGAATCCTTTTCTCATTTGGAATTTCTGTGGCTTCCTCTTCCACAACTAGCTAGATCTAACTTTCGGCTTTTCAATGGTTTGTGTGATTTGGTTAGGCCCACCCAGATAATCTCCCTCCCTTAAGATCAAGTGATTAGTAACCATAAGTGCATTTGCAAATTCTTTTTCCATGTAAGATAATTTAACTGTGGGAGTAACAGCATGGGCTAGAAATCATGGGGCCATCTTAGAATTTTGCCTACCACAGGCAAAGAGACAACAGGGGACAAACCCTGAAGGGTCTTTGTACTCTGACAAAATGGGGAGCCATGTAAAAGAAGATTACTTGACGTATTTTATGTTTTTAAATAGTTACTTTGGTATAAAAAAGATCCAAGGAACAAAATTGAAAAAGTGGTATCAGTTATGTGTCTAATGGCTACATGCAGGCAAAATAGTAGCTTGGCTGAGGCTGGTATTGAAGGAAGTGGTAGGCAGTGGGGACATTTCCAGTCAGTCTTTTCTCTCTGTCCACACAGAATTTCTGTTTATTTTCACATTCAGTGATTCTTTCTTCTGTCCTATTTATTCTGTTCTTGAGCCCACTCAATGAGTTTTTTACCTTGGTTTTTGTATTTTTGAGCTTTAACATTCCATTTGGTTCTTCTTTGTATCCTCTTTTCCTTTGCTGAGACTTTCATTTCTTTTCCCATTTACTTATGTGTATTTGTAATCACTTACCGAAGCAGGATGAGTACTTTAAAATTCTTGTCAAATAATTCTAACACCTGTGTTATCTCACTGTTGGTACCTGTTGGTTATCTTTCATCATTCAAGCTGAGCTCTTCCGGTATGAGAAGTGATTTTATTTTATTATACACAGGACATTTGGGTGTTAGAGTGTAAAATGCTATATCCTACTTAACCGTAGTTTTTTACAGGTTGTGGATCAGTTCAGGTATAGTCTACATTTCCAAGTAAGATGGATATTTAGCTCCCTACTTGTTCTTAGTGACACCAGGGAGCAAAGTGGGGTACTAACTAGTATTCTACTCACTCTACCTCACTGCCACTTAGTAGGGGTAGAAGCTTAGCTCCCTATAGGTCCACTTACACCAATGAGGAAGTGAAAATAGGGTGCTGACTAGCACCGTCTTAAATTATTTTGTTCTGCCTCCTTATCTCTAAGTGGGGCTAGAAGTTTACGGAACTCACCACAGTGTCATTCCTCTCTGAGCCAGTCTTATTTCCCATTTGTATAGTCTTCCCAGGTTTACCATGTGTAAAGAGAGTGTGTGTGTGTGTGTGTGTGTGTGTGTGTGTGTGTATTAATAAGAAGGAGGATTACTATTTTGGCTGCAACCAGAAGTCCATGTTCTGAATACATTTCAAAGGTGGGGGCCAGCAGGATTTTGATGAAAAAGTTATTGTAGAAATATCCCTCTTCCTTCAGTCTAAAACACATGTGCTTAGTAGGTCCAGTGACTTTCAAGCTACACATAGTAACCACAGATGGAGGGAAGGGGCTATTATGATTCTAATGCTTATCTATGTGCCAGATGTGCTTGATGCCTTTTGTGCACCATTTATTCCTCAAGACAATACAATGAAGGATGCACAGAGATGTCTGTAACTCTTTTGAAACTAAGCCAAAAGGGAAGGCAGATTGATGACTGGATAGATGGACAGGAGTTTTACAGAGCATGTGTAGTAATATGTTTTAAGTGCAACCTAGATGGCAAATGCATTAAGTTTTCATTTTAAAAATCTTTAAATTTTTTATGCTTAGAAAACTTTTATAACAATATCTTGAGAAAAATAAGCCTAGTGAACAAATTACTATGACTTTTGTGATTAGTGAAATGACATTGCTTTATCCAAGTTTTTACTGAGTTTAATAAGTAGCAAAAGCAGGATTAAGACACAGATTTTCTGACTTAAAATCTCAGAGTCTAGACTATGATATATTCCAGAGACTGCAAATCAGAAAGCTAAAGGCTTAATCTGATCCAGTGTTTACAATTTTTTGAATTTGTCCATTTTTAAAATTGGGAAAATGTGCATGAAATGCATATTTATAACTTTATATGAAAAATCAGACATTCTATGAACACGAGCTCTTAACCTTGTCTTACAGCAACAGTTGCCTAGTTATGGCCCTCTCTAGATGGTGCATTCATTCTCCAGTTTGCCAGTCTCTCACCTTTCCCTCAAGGTTCTCAGACAAAAAAGCTGTACATTGCACCACATTTACACTTCTTGCAAAGAGGAAATTAAAATATTTTTTGTACTCGTGGCTTTATCAAAAATGAAAAAAAAAAATGAAAGCTTCGTGGAGAGAGCCTGGTATTTTAATAGTAAAATGGTAGAGAACATGATTCCTTTGAAAGAAAGGATTACCCTTACATGTTAATATGCGAAGTGACTTTCTGCAGGAAAAAATACAGCTTTAAAAGGTCATTATGAAACATCTCTCCCCATTACCATCTGGGGGAATTTTGTTAGTGATCCCTGAACATAACACACATAATTCTTGAGTGACAGTAGATCTTATTTATTTTACCTGGACAAGTCTTTTAAATCAAATTATTTGGAATTGTGTCAACTTATAAGATTAAATACCTTTTTTAAAAATACAATTTTTAATGACTGAACCACCCAGGCGCCCCCAAAATAGAATTTTTCATATCATAATGAATTATGATGCTTATTTTTTGAT